CGCAGGTGCCTGGTGATCGTTTCTCCGGACCTTTGAAATCGGCATTGCATTTCACGGCTTGTTGCATGGTGCCCAGCAAAATAGAGCAGCATGGCGACTTGTTCTTGGTTTGACACGTTCACCGTTCGCCGAAGTCCACCGTGTCGAACTGTTGCAGACCACAAGCTTGTCGAACGTTGTTCGTGGCATTCGAAACGTTTCCATGCAATTGTTGGGGTTCCCGGAGAGGACTTCATCAACCCACAGTGTGCCCTTGAGAATGGACATGCGCTTCGGCGACTTGTTGATGTAGGCGAAGATGTGGTATGCCAAAGCCTTGATACGCGCATCTCGTTGCATGCGACGGCGGTGTAACCACACTGCGAGGACGCGCACGAGTGTCGAGGGATCCATCAGTTCCAGAGAAAGGGTTGTGACAGTACGTCAAAATATACGACTTCGAGTCGTATATTGAATTATCTCGTTTTCGGGCCATTATCGCGTATTCTTTCGTAATATTAATTCCTCAGTATTGACCATCCAGACAGGAAAATCCTACGTATTGTCAAATACGCAATAATTTTGCAAAATATTGCAATAAAACATGATATTCCACTCCATCCCAGACGGGCCCTTAGAATAAACACAACAATATTATTAAAATAATATTGTTGTGTTTATTCTAAACTGGAGAATGAATCGACACAACCAAGAGTCGGCAGAAGGATTTAGCCAATCAGATTGCAGGAAACCATTAGTGTAATACCAAGCACCACATGGTTGGCACCTTTTTACATACAAAATTCAGTACAACGAATCGATCGATAGATGTGGTCAAAAGTCCCAAATTTTGGGTAAAAGGACAATACTAACAGTAAAGGCGTAGTAAGTTACTACTACTAGTAGTAGTAGGTAGTACTAGGGCTACTATATAATTGCATTCAATTATCTTGATTAATGTAATCGAATTCAATATATACTATACGTATGCCGATCGATTACTAACTTCCTACTACTGCAGTAATAACGTTAGTATTTTTGTTTCAAAACGTTATTACTGTAATAGAGCACTTCTGCCGCAAGTTGTTTCGATGCTGGTTTTCTAAAGGGCTGTATCGTTCAGCAAGGGAGTACATGTATATACGCAGTACAGTTGTTAGCCAAATAAAACTAGCGGTGATATGTATTGAAGTCGCAGCTAATAGTCTTCAAGCTGGACATCATGCTTTTGCAAGATCGCTTCAATCGAGAGGTCGACAAGGGCGACAGTCTTCTTCATGTCTTCGCCCTTCGTGTCGACTTCGATGGACGTGTCCAATTCAGCGCGGCGGCACACTTGTGACAGCATACGCCGACGGCACTTCCATCCTGCATTGGAGCTGTGCCACGGGCCACTGAAGGATGCTGCGTAGAACCAGGCCCCAGTCGACCATCCCAACGTCTCCACATGTCCTTCAGGCACGATCGTAGCCACGTCCTTGATAGTGCTTCCCACATTCGGACCTAACACCATCAACTCTAGCTGATCCAAGTTTCAGGGGACGAGCATGTGTACGGTATGTACCTGCGCGGTATGCGGGGCGGTTGTCCGCGGCGCGCAAATGTTCTGTGCTCCATCCCTTGAGAGGGACAAAGCGCTCGTGTTCCCAGCAGTCGCGAGTGACGGCGTGTGCCACGTCATGGCGGTTCCACACCTCCACCGCAACGTACAGTTCCAAGGCGAACCGTGCCTAGCATGATCATGTTAGCGCCCAACGCAAGTAAGTCTGAATTCGGTCCACCAACCCGTTCCAGCTTGAGCCGTCTTAAGCAGACGCCAGCAAATCGATGGGACTCGAATTCGGACAGCGGTAACGCGGCGCTTCCGAGTAGCGAGGCCTGGCCGAGGCAGTTTTCTTCATGGATGGCAAACTCGAGCACGCGGCTGTACATTTCAGCCTCCGTTACTTCAAACGAATACACTTGATGCTCCCACATGACCTCTGACGACTTTGGCGCGCGTCGGGGCGTCGACTTCGACGGGTGCTTGGAGCCGACGCCGCGAAGTTTGGTCTCGACAGACAACCCGCGCATGGGCAAGAGGCATCCCCGCAACTGCACCTGCTTTGCGCACTGCACTTCCACACGAAGGATTCGGGGGATGTGGCTGTGTACTTTTTGATCCCGCTTCACTGCTGGTTCCGTGCGCTGATAGTAGGCCGCCGCCGTCATCACAAATGTGTCAGGTTGGTGCAATCGAATAGTGCCAGCTTGTCACACTTTCCACATGTCGTTATCCGGAATTCCGGATGACCCGTGTCAAGATTTTGTAAAGCGTATCCAAACACACCAAAATGTTTTGTGGTTTTACTTACAAATAGACAGTGTAATTTAAACATTCGAAAAAAGTACTATCTGGTACACCTTGTGCAACCACCATCCTGCGGAGCTCATCATCCCATGCAACTCGACGACTGGGACCCAACTTCGTGTGCCTTTGACGAGTTGGCACTTGAGACCTCAATGCCAGTAGCTTCTAGCGATAGCAATCTTCGGTTCGTGCGTATCCAGCTGCATCAAGTGGTGGACGTCGATCAGATCATTGCGTCGACTTGTCTGGGCGAGTTTCGTCGGTCCACCGTGTACGCGGAGCTGCGGTTGCATGGCCAAGGTGTGTCGTACACTCCATCATTCCGAACAACGCCCATTGCCGCGCACGGCGGTCGTTGGGAGAACGAGATCATGGACCTCCGCCTAACCGAACAGGACATGTACACTCGTGTGCTGGGCATTTCGTTGTACGCTGTAGACCTCCTCGGTCTCTCGGTGTGCCTCGGTGATGCCAAAGTGCCGCTAACTCCATTTGAGTTGCTCAAGCACCAGATCACCATCTCGGACGACATCCACCTCACGGAAGACTGGCATGATGCGTCCTACGAAGAAGTCACGACCTGCCGCGTGCAAGTGTCGGTGGCAGTGTGGACGTGCGATGATGTCAACCACAGTACCACGCTTGAAGTGTGGGAACACGAGCGCTTTGCCCGTACTTCGTGGTCCAGCAGCCATCTCCTCGCCACCGATCGACATGTGTACGCATGCGGATCCGTCACCAGCGACAAGTGGAGTGACGTCGAGCCCGAGGTGCCGCGGGAGTACGTCGAAGTGCTCGGGTGGGCCGCTGACAAGAGCCAAGGTGACGAAAGTGGCTGGTTCTACGCATCTTCTTTCGCTGGTCCGTGGCACAACGAGGCTGGTCATGCGTTTCCCTGTCGGCGGCGCCGCCTGGTCAAACTGGCGCTCTTAGCGTCAGTGCAAACTCAAAAGCAAGTGCAATTTGAGTTGTTGCAGCACGACCATACTCAACTCGTGCGCGAGTTTCAAGACGTCCAGTTGTTGGTCCAGGTATATATATTATTTATTTATTTATTTATTTATATATATATATATATATATTCACGCCTTATGACTTTAACCAAGTACTGTACACTTGTATAATATAGGCCAAAGCCAGGGAGCTACAGTTGCAAGAGCTAGCGCATGCCAACGAACTTGGCCATGTTCGAAGTGCCCACAAGAAAGCCATGCAAGAAGCTCAAGACAACTTTGAGACTCAATTAGCCATTGCCAAAGCAGTGCAACAGGACCTGCACGTTAAAGTGGCCGCATTGCAGACTCAATTGAGACAAGCTAAGGTGGAGGCACCTCCGCTTGCCACGTAAGATGCCTTGTACGATCGATAGAACTTGGTCACTGTATATTGTCGTTTTACCCAACATTTGGACTACTGTGCTGATTCGCCAAATCTATGGATCGATGTTGATTTGGTCGAAGAGTGGATTTGATTGGCTAAATGATTCGTGATCTTGGTTTTGATTGGTCGATTGATTGTCTGCCGATGTATTTGGTTCTTCAGCTCATTCGATTGAGCACCCCACTCCAATGTCGAATCGACTTGACAAGATATATCTGTCTTGCAGGGTGACCCAGCCTTCTAAGCCGGCCTCGACGACATGCCTCGTTCGCATACAACTGCACCGCGCGGCCAATCTGGTGGCGGCGGACTCTGTCTTCATGGGCGGGAAGAGCGACCCTTACGTACTGTTTTCCATCGGGAATGTCCAGCAAAAGTCGTCCATGCATCGGAGCACACTGGACCCGGTGTGGCACAACGAGATCTTCGACTTTGACTTAACCCGACGCACCCCGGCGGTGCTGCTCGTGCACGTGTTTGATTTCGATCAGTTTAGTGCCGACGAACTCATCGGTTCTGTGTCGATTCCGCTGCACGAGGTGGAAGAAACCAACGATCCGGACGAGGCCCGCACGTTTGGCTTGACAATCCCCCCCAAGTTTGCGAACAAAAAACCGAGCACGGTGACATTGCAGTTTGAATTTGGCAGTTGGATCGACGACGACGATGACGACACCAACCACGAGACCGACGGAGCCAAATCACACGACGGACCGGTGCAGCTTGTGATGTGGGAGAACGAGCGACACCATCGAGGACACTGGGGCGCGGCCAACCTCAAAGCCACCGACCGACAAGCGTGGAGCGTCGGCGCGACGTCCGCAGCGGCGAGGGAAGCCATCGCCCCCAAGATTCCGCTCGGGATGGAGTCGCATCTGGGCTGGGCGGTGGATCGCCGCCACGGCGACCCCAACGGATGGTTCTACGCTGCCTCGTTTGACGGGCCGTGGATGAATGGTCCGCATGCGTCCGCGGTCGTGCGGCGACGGAAGTGGACCCAGCGATGCACGCGACGACGACAGAAGAGCCGACAAGTCTTGTCAAGTCCAGACGACCCGCCCCTGCATGCCACGGCGGCGTAAAAGTTGGCGTCATGCGCATCATGTTGTGGACTCCCGATTGAGAATGTGTTAGCCAATCAGAGTGCACTAATGAGAAATTGCAACCAATCATCGAGTACTGTAGTTTAATTTGGCCCAACAGGTTGACCCAGTTAAATACTAGTACTAGTATTCATTTTTGAAAGTTACAATTTTTGCATTATTGACAGTGACTAAAAGCTTAACTCCCAAAATGCTTAAACCTGACTCAGTGTACTTCGAATCTGCCATTTCATCGGAAATGATTGGTTGAATAACTTCGAACTTCGATGTAAATCTCAAATTCAAATCTTATTGGCTATAATATTCTGTGCTTCCATAAAACTTTACTTATGTTAGTGTACATTGTACTGTAGACCGTGAATTACTGAGGGAATAATGTGATAACGTCACTGGTTGGTTGGGACGCTCTGTCAACCAGTACACGTGTGTGTGGGCCATGAATAAAATGACCTGAGCGTTGCAAGTCACATATACTTCGTAGTCCTATAAATCAAGTACGTTCGTAGGATGGAGAGATGGATGGATGGATACACGACGAATACATCTACGCCGACACGGTCTAAGTGTCGTGAGAGTCTTGGTTGCTGTCATCTTGGACGACGATGGCGGTGCATCGCTGCATCCACATTCGTCGGCGCACTTCGCTGGATCCGTTGGGGTTGTTAACCCACGGCCCGTCAAACGACTTGGCGTAGTACCAGCCTTCGTCGCCGCCATGATCCAAGTCGAGCGACCACCCAAGCTTGGTCTCCATGCCCCTGGGGATCTTGGGCTGCATGGCCGCGCGATCCACACCCGAGCGAGCGCCGACGCTCCAAGCTTTGCGCTCTCCCGCCACGAGGTTGGACTTCTCCCACTTGCCCTTGGCGAGGCGTTCGTTCTCCCATAGCAGTTGCTCCTTGGACGCTTTCTCCATTTCTTCCGTGAGCAGTTCAAACTTGAGGGAAATCTTGCTCGAGCGGCCTTGCGCTTGGAACTGAGGCGGGATGTCCAGATCCAGCTCCTCTTCTTGTCCGGATGGAAGGTGTTGTTCGAATCGCATGAGCGGCAGCTTGACGCTTCCGATGAGCTCGTCGTCGCCGAGCTTGTCGGCATCGTACACGAGGATTTCAATTGATTTCGTGTACATGGCCCCTTCCGTGAGTGTAAACTCGTGCACTTCGTCGTTCCAGACGGGGTTGAGGTTGCCCCACACTTTGGTGCTGCGGAACTTGACGTCGCCCACTTTAAACACAATGTACGGGTCGCTCTTTCCCCCCGTAAACACCGAGTCCGCCACCACCAAGTCCACGCACTTGGTCGCTTGCACACGGAACAGCCGCGACTCGGTACTGTACGGCTTGAGCTTCATCAGCTCCTCTTCCTCGGCCAGCGTGCGCAGACGGGCGGCTTCGACCGCCGCAGCTTCCGCGTCCAGTTCTTCCTTGGCAAGGCGTTCCAATTCCGCCTGTCGGAGCGAGTCCGCTTCGCCTTGAACCCCGCGCAGGGCCGTCAACTGGGCAGTCAAGGCGGCGATTTCGACCAGTAGCGCCGCTTCACGGGCTTTGGCCTCGTCCGCCTTGCCTTCCAACGCCACGACTTTAGCCTCGGCCGCCGTTTGTGCGGCAGTGAGCGACGACACTTGCGCCACGAGCGCCGCCTTGTCGTCTGACGCGACCGTCACTTGCTGCTGCAACGAGCCCACGGTAGCAACCGTCACGGCGTTCGAAGCTTCCAATGCAGTCAATTTCGTCTGCAAAGCGGCCACTTCGGCACTGCTGTCACGTTGAAGGGACAACAAGCTCTCTTCGTGGGCAGCCTTGTCACCCAACTGGGCTGCCAACAGCGTCGCCACTTGGTCCTTCAATGCGTCGCGTTCACCTTCGAGGACCGTCTTTGCTTGGGTCTGAGCAGCCGATGCAGCGGCAGCTTCTGCGACCAACGACGCGTTCTCGGTGGACTGGGACGCCACACGTTGTTCCAAGGTTTCGACGGTCGCTAGAGTCGCGTGGTGGGCAGCTTCCAAACTCGCCACCTTCGTTTCCAGCGCGACCACGTTGGCGCTGTAGTCACCTTCGAGTGTTGACACCTTGGCATCATGCGCGGCTTGGTCGGCCAGACGCGTCGCCTGGAGGGTCGTGACCTGCTCCTTCAATTCGTTGCGTTCGCCTTCGATGCCTTGCACGGTTTGACTGTGGGAGGCAGTGAGTGCCGACACTTGTGCAGCCAACGCAGCCTTCTCTGCCACTTCAGCGGCGACTTGCTCTTCCAACGTTCCAATCGTAGCGATCGTCGCGCCGTGGGTGGCTTCCAGTGCAGATAACTTGGTTTGCAAAGCAACAACCTGGGCACTGCTATCCCCTTGCAGAGCCAAAAGCGTGGCTTCGTGGGCTGCCTTGTCCGCCAACTGAGCGGCCACAGCGGTAGCCACTTGTTGCTTCAAAGCGTCGCGTTCGCGTTCGACTTGTTCTTTGGCTTGGGTGTGCGTGGCCATCGCAGTCGAGTGAGCAAGTGTGGCTTCTGACGACGACAACTGAAGAGCCGCGAGATCGGCAGTCAATTGAGCCACTTGGGCCCTGGAAGTAGCCGTGTCAGCTTCGGCCGTGGCCAACGCCGTCACAGACGCTGCTTGGGCCGATGACAGGTCGGCCAACTTGACGTCCATGGCGCCCAACTTTGCCGTCAGCGCCTGGACATCCGCTTCATGAGAGGCCTTTTCCGCCGCCAATTCAACTTGAGCGTGGGCCGTCGTGGTCGTGATCTCAGCTTGGGCGGCCGCAAGGGACGCCGACAGCGCCGACACTTCTGACGTGAGGAGGTTGATCTCAGCCTTTTTGGACTCAATGTCAGACTGGGCAGCGGCCAATTCAGACTGAGCTGCAGCTTGGGCAGCAGTGACCGTGGCCACCTGCGCGTGGACATCGTCGAGTTGCTTCGTTACCACCGCGAGAGCAGCCTCGTGGCCAGCTTGGTCAGCGGCACGGGCGGCCACGAGCGCCGCCAGCTCTGCCTGCGCCGTATCGCGCTGCGCTTCCACTTCCTTTTTGTTTTGGGCGTGCGATTCGATCGCCGACGCATGCACGAGAGCGGCCGCGGCGGCGGCAGCAGATGCAGCAACCGCTTCGCCTTGGAGTTTGGCCAAATCCGCACGCAACGACGACACTTGCGCCGTTTTGGACGACGCGTCGGCTTCCGCCGCGGCCAGTGCCGCCGCAGTCGCGGCTTGGGTCGCACTTAACGCGGCCAACTTGGCGTCGGACGAAGCCACGTGGTCTTGCAGCGCGGCGACGGACGCATCCAACGAGGCCTTTTCGGTGCTGTGGGTCGAGATGAGCGCCGCGAGCTCTACCTTCAATTGATCGCGCTCGTCTTGTACTTGTTTCTTGGTCATTTCAATCTGTTGAGACGTGGACGAATGAGCAGCCGCAGCCGCGGTCGCCGCAGCGGCAGCTGCCGCCACTTGGGTCTTGAGTGCATCCAACTCGATCTGAAGCGCTTCCGCATGCGCCGACTTGTCAGCCAACGCGGTGTCGGACTCGGTCAACTTTGCCGACATCGCGGCGGCAGACGACGTCGATTCTGCCAATTGTATCGACACGACCGCAAGCCGAGCCGTTAAAGACTCGACTTCACCACCCAATGCACTCTTGTCGGTCGTGCTCAATGCCTTCAAAGCAGCCAGTTGTGCCTGCAAATCTTCGCGTTCTGCCAACAATTTCTCCGCCGATGCCGTATGGGCAGCCGTCGCAGCTGTAGCGTCGGCCTCCAAAGCAGCTAGCTTGGCTGTCAACACGTGGATTTGCGCTTCCTTGGCAGCAACGTCGTCTTTCGACGCAGCATACGCGGCGGCGGTGGTCGCTTCCGTCGCCGTCAACGCCGCAAGCTGGGCTTCGACGGCAGACAGGTTTTCGCGATGAGAGGCCAAACTGGCGTCGTGGGCCGAGGTCGCAAGCGCCGCAGCGGCGGTGAGTGCGGCAATCTTGGACGACAAGTTGTTGCGTTCACCTTCAAACACCGACTTGGAGCGAGAATGTTCCTGCGTCGCGGCTTCGTGTGCTGACGCGGCGGCGGCGGCAGCGGCTGCCGCCGCAGCAGAAGCCTCTTCCAATGCAGTCACCTTACCTTGCAACAAGATGATTTCAGCCTTGTAAGAGTCGACGGTGGCAATGGACGCGGCAAGAGACGACTGGGCCGCTGCAAGTTCGGCGGTCACGTCCTTGTGCAAACCTTCCAATACCAGCAGTTCTTCCCGAACCGATGCAACTGCAGCTTCGTGTTGGGCATCCACAGCAGATTTCTCATCAAACAAGCTCGACAAGCGGTTGCGAAGGCGTTCGATGTCGGCTTCGAGGCGTGCCTTTACTTTGGTAGCTTCGGCTGTGGTTTCGACACACAATGCACATTCTTTGCCGTCGACTTGGCCTTCCAGTTGCTTGATGCGATTCTTGTACCATTCCAAGGACGTGGATTCGTGCATTAAGAGAAGCTTGCCTTCCACGGCTGATTGATGGGCGAGGTCAGGGCCGTGGGCAAGCAAGGAGTGGCTGTTGCGGGCGACACGCGTTCGCGGAGTACCCGTAGCTGGACCTCGTTCCGAATAGAAGATTCCGCGAGGAGTTTCCGACCGAGATCCTTCGTTTCCAACGGCAGAACGAATGGAGACAGGCACATGCGGGGTCGACAACGGTTGAGGCGGCAACGACGGGCGACTTCGTCGTTCCGATGCTGATGCCGCCGCCGCCGCCGCGGCCGCCTTCTCTTCTTTCTTCTTGCCCCACTTCCACCTGGCGAAGATACCATCTTGATGATGTACATCTATACTGTCAAGCCCCATAATGGTCACGGCGCGTGCTTCTTTGAGCTACACGTGTGAAAAACGGAAATGTTACTCGCCTTCCAGCAGATCTCCACTTGGTTAGAGCGAGTCGACGAGCTATTTTGCATATCTTTGCGAAGCAGGTCAAATTTATATAGAGGTTTGTATCCCAGAAAGGACGCGCGAAAAGATACGTTTGCAATCAACTAAACATATGAAGTACAAGTGGTGATGGCATATTATTACTGAATATAGCATTTGAGCTAGATCCCTTCCGCCATGATTTGCTGGCGACAGTGTAAGGGTGTTACAGTTACAGCACGGTTACCTTCACAATTACTTCGAAGGACACATTTGAGGCGGCGGTGGATATGGGAAGGAGAATGAAGAACGATGCATGTGCGGATCTCGAAAACGTGAAGTTGATGATGGAGTGGTAAGTGGCTACGGTAAGTACACTGTAAGCGCGTGCCTGTGGTGCATCTGATGTCAGGTGGAAAAGTACCTGTACTACGGTAGTTAGTACAAGGATTGGTTGACATGGTCGGGTCAACACTCTCCACCCGTTGAGTTTCAGACCTCAGTTGCATCGTGATTCGGTCACGATCAAGTTGCTATGCACTGTCAAGCATACCAATGATACAAGGACATGAATGTCGTAGATACAACGCGCACATGCTGAAAAGGGATCCCAAAGCAATGCATGACGATTAAGAATGGGATGCGACAAGAATGGATGCGACAAGTGTATGCATGCTACAGTACTGTACCGTACTGTACATTGGCAGTCAAAATCGCCTCAAAGCAAAAATGGTCAAAATACACTGTTTATTGCCATATCCAGTCCGAGTGTTACTGTACGGTACAAGGCTAGTACTACTAAGCATTAACAGTAAATACGTAGAACAGTGCAACTGACAAGGTCGAACGAGGAACAAAGTCAGCAGCTGTGTCCACGACCATTTGAAATCGCCACGCTTCGCACGGTCAGATTATCTTGCAATGGGTTGAAATTATCGATGCACTCTACTATACTAGTACTCGTATGTACCTTGAGGTCAGTTTCACTGGTATACTGTACAGTACAATACTAGTACTTAGCTATTATAGGCAAACGATCGGGAAGCACTTCGTGGGGGCTGCGGGATGCGGAGTTATCGCGCCCAACCCCTTTATCTGCGATCAGCCGTAGGGCGAGGCCTGGCCGTAGATTTAGGCGCATGCCAATCGCCGATAGCCCGGATAACATTTATCCGGATAGCATATCTTGAAGGATAAATGCGTGAACTTTTCAACCCCTGCAACGTGACACCGCTGACTGTAATTAGTGCGGACCACACTAATTTTCGACCTCGTCACCAGACCAACGGCACATGTACCGCACTAATTATGGACTTGGAGAATTACAGTAGTGCGGACCGCACCAATTTTGAATATTAAGAATTAGTAAGGATTATTTTCTTGAATTTTTGTAACGTTATGGGGATTTGTCATGAAAAGTCACATCACAAACAGCAATTTGAAATGGGGCATCGTGGCATACACCCAAACACCCATTATTGCACGAAATTGGCCCGCACTAATTATACAAGGATATCAACCACAATTTTCGGGAATTCCATCATAATGTTACATGTATTAGGGCCTGTTCCAAGTAGATATTTTTAGCAAAATGAAAAATTGGTTCCAAGTGCTAGGTTCCTACTTTTTTAGGTCTTTTTCTGCGATTTTTTACACAACTTACTATACCAAAAATAGAAAAAGAGGTCATGACGTCTTTTTCTAAATCGTGAAAATAAAAGCGGTAAATCGATTTTGATTGGCTCATGCTATTTCTGAAAACTACTTGGACCGCGCAACAGTAATTCTGAATCCACACTAATTCTCAATCCGTACTAATTACGGTCAACGGTGGAGAGTGTGCCTATGATTGAATCGTCCTACAACCACAGAAGCTATGCTGCTCGGAAGAATGGACGAAACGACATGCTAGACTTGAAGTTTGTATTGTTAACGTTAGATCAAATCAAGGGACCACTTTTGCAGAGGACTCTTACATGAACATGAACGGAGCAAAGGAAAGGACTCGGCTAGCAGCATATATTATACTAGTGTAACGTATATACTAATACGTTACGTAAACGAGGCATTTCCCAAACCTCCGGATAATTGTTATCCGGGTGATTTTGTTCGTCCGTAAATCGGCGAACCGAGCCCTGCCATTGGCTCTCGTATGTGTGGAATTATACTATAATAGTAGTACTAACGTTAGTGGGGTGGGATATCGGCACATGCAAACGCCAAGTCGCGCACGTGGCCCCGCAATACCAAATAACCTGACTCTTACTACTTCATTGGGTGGAATTCCTTGCGTGTGCCACTAACGTTACACAGTACTGTAAATGTATGTATGTACATATCCCGATAACGTTAAGTTTTCGACTAGTACCGGTAACGTTAGCTGAGGCAATATCGCTCTTCACCATATATTTCATGACATTATTATTGTCGTGGCATCCAAATGGAGTTACAAGTACATTCTTGTAAATCCAATGGTGTCATGATTGAATCAATCATGACATATTGTAGTCAATTGGTTCAAATGGTTCAATCAGATTGAACCATTTGAACCAATTGACTACGGCATGTGTGGATGAGGAGGCACTAAAAATCCGGATAAATTACACTGTGATTGGTTGAAAGGTTTCGACTTACGGAAATTGTACCAATGGCTAACGAGCAATTGGTATTAATACTCCCAGCAATTGCGAGGACAGTCAATTCATCATTGAAACTCTGCTGATGCTCCGCCTTGTTCGTCGCAGTGGATGGCGCGTCGGCCCCCGCCACTTCAGCGCCGAGGTCAAGCCGTCCGACTTCAGCGAAGTGCTTCGCAACCTCCGTGCGAGTGAACACTTCGACTTGGTTGTGATTGGCAGTGGCCCGGCGGGTCAAAAGTGCGCGATTGACAGCGCCAAGCATGGAAAGAAAGTCGCGATCATTGACAAGAAGGACATGCATGGTGGTGTATGCGTGCACACGGGCACGATTCCCAGCAAAACGTTCCGGGAGGCCGTGTTGCATCTGACGGCCCATCGACACAAGGGTTTCTACGGCAACGCTTACACGGCGTCGACGACTGGCAAGCGACTCAGCTTGGAGGAAATCTTGGACCGTGTCAAGAAGGTCGAGGATGCAGAGACCGACCTCACACGTAACCAACTGACGCGAAATGGAATCATCCTCATCAATGGCACCGCGCGCTTCTTGCCCACAGAAGACAAGAAGACAATTGCGGTAGCTACCATCCACAACCAACCACTGCACTCATTCCTAACGATATGTACGATGTAGGTCTTGTCGAACGACTCATACACGGAAAAGACGGACGCGCAGCGCCACAATGACGCCAACATCTGCAAACGGTGAGGCCATCTATCGATATGTCCCCTTCATCCCGTCACTTGTCATGGCGGTGCTAGTGTCTTGACAGCGGACAAGGTGCTCATTGCCGTGGGCACGCGTCCGGCGCGCCGCCCTGACCTCGACTACGACGGTCGGTTGATCTTCGACTCGGACCAGCTTCTTTGGGGCGGAGTGGACATCGTTCCCAAGCGTCTCATCGTCGTCGGCGCGGGTGTGATCGGGATGGAGTATGCCTCCATGATCAGCATCATTCCGGGCACCCAAGTCACCGTCATCGACGGTCGCAAGGAGGTACGTTAGTTGGTACATGCGATATCTATGGTGAAAAACCAACATGGATGTGTAGATCCTAGACATGGCGGACAAGGAAGTGTCGGACGCATTGTGCTACTACATGCGAAAGCGCGGGTCCCGCTTCCTCACGGAAGAGTCTATCGTCAAGGTGGAAACCAAAGACAACAGCGAAGTGCTCGTGTATTTGACCAGCGGCAAGGTGATTGTCGGCGACGCCTTGCTGTATACCCAAGGCCGCCAAGTAAGTATCGTTGTTTGTCGCGGGGGTGATGGATAGTAGAATCGAAAGAAGTGTGTTGGCATTGTTTGGCGTGGGGGAGACAAATAGTACAAGTTCCATCGAGTGACAGTTACATGTTGTGTGCAGGGAAATGTCGCCGGTCTCGACTTGGAGGCAGTGGGGCTCGCGGCCAACAAGCGCGGGGTCTTGGACGTGAACAACAACTTCCAGACCGATGTGCCGCACATGTACGTACCTGCTCACCACTCTAACAAGCTAAGGGAACTCATGTGGAATGCGTGACTAGTTATGCGGCGGGGGATTGCATTGGATATCCTGCCCTCGGTAAGCTTCATTCGACTATTATGGCGAGCATCAAGTCATGGTGTGTGTGTGTGCTATGGTGTAGCGTCGACATCGATGGAACAAGGACGATTGGCGTCGGTGCACATGAGAACTTCCGAACCGACAAACAAGCTCCGTCCCGACGCCGAAGCGCATGACCCGGCGCATCCTCGCACTCGCATGCGCTCGGGTGAAGTGTTTCCCTTCGGCATTTACACGGTGCCAGAGATCTCTATGGTTGGCAAGTCGGAACAGCAGTTGTCTCGAGAAAACATTCCTTATGAGGTAGTCCAACGAACATGCATCACCTCCGATGGAAGAGCTATTGTATCCTATGCAATCGATTGTACATGCAGGTTGGCATCGCGAGATACGAAGAGCTCGCGAAGGGGCAAATGATGGGCGGTATGCCGGGGTTCCTCAAGCTGATCTTCTGTCCCACGACCCTCAAATTGCTCGGTGTGCATGCCATCGGCGAAGGGGCGACGGAAATCATCCACATTGGCCAAGTGGTCATGTCGACAGGTACTTTAATCGGTCGTCTCTCACCAACGCCGTCTCTTCAGCATGTCGTCGTCGGGTGTGTAGGCGGGACGATGGAGTACTTTCGCAACGCCGTGTTCAACTACCCCACGCTCGCCGAGGCGTACCGCGTCGCAGGTCTCAACGGCCTCAGTAAGATCGAAGCCCTTCGGAACAGCGAAGTCTAATCCATCGACCAGCCTCATGCTTCTTCATCCCGTGCATGTTCGTTGTGTTTGGTTGCACATGGGAAATTTCGAATCCGTGCGATCTTTGCGTTGAAACGTCAAACTTCAACAACCCCCAGGAGGAACGACACTGTTGACGACCTACGATTACGTTTTTTATGGATATTTGAGCGATGTAACTACGTTTTAAGGGTGTATCGTTGGGCGTCGATACTGCAACTGTCGACTCATAGTCAAAAAGGGCGTACACGGTGACGGAGGGACTTCGTTTTCGAAGTGTGTTGTTTAAAGGTGTATGCGGTCGTTGAATGCTTCCATGGTGGCCAAGCGAGGTCACAAGAGCATGGGGCAAGCAAAGATCCAAGCTGGATCAATTGCAATCGAGTACTAGTAGTAGTAAAAAACGCAGATTGTTTGGTCAAAAGACACGCGACACGTCTTGTCTTCCGTCCTTCGAGACAGTTTTGCGGGACTTCCATGGAAATCAGAGGATCCGGATACAAAACTTCGAACTGCAAGATCGCAGAACGTTTAAACATGCCCCTTCAATACGTTTTTTGTTCAAACGTTGCAACCACTCGTGTCGAACATATGCCACAAATCCATCCACAATCTATTGCCTGGTCGCAGAAAACCCAGGACCCAGGGCATTTGCATGTGCATAAGTATCCCTATACCTTTGCAGTGCTAAGGCATCCACCTTACGCTTCAAACACCCTCGACGTGTGATATGCATGGCCTGCATGAACACGTTAAACAGGTTATATGGATCGTGAGTAATCGGTTGAACCCTGGTTTATCCGGATCATCCACGTGATGTTCTTTACTACCCCTAATCGCCGTGGTGATACTTCGCGATGGAAAGTTCTCCACACAAACCCAATATCGAAGGAAGTTCTCCGATATTCCCGAGATGGACGACAACAACGCGACCAAGCCAAGCGCGGCCGCCGCATCGGGAGGTCCCGTCGGCGGCCACACGTGGACAGAGCACAAGAACCTCGACGGGTTATCGTACTACTACAACAAGAAGACCAAGGAGAGCGTGTGGGAACGGCCACCAGACTTTGCCGAGTCTCCGGCACCGGCAGTCGACGGCGACGGTGCCGCCCACTGGGAAGAACGCCTGGACAAGAAGAGTCTGACGCTCTACTACTACGATCGCGTGAGTAAGTTGAGTCAGTGGACTCGTCCGGCCAGCGTGTCGATCATTAGTTACGCCAGCCGCGATCGGTTGGCGCTTGAAGCGTCCATCAAGGCGTCACCGATGGACGACAAGAAAGCGATCATGCAGACGCCGCCGTGTCTACCGATGACGACTCAGCCAAGTACACCGACACTTCCATCGCTTCAATCTCTCTCGCATACTCCTCGTCCATCGTCTGCAGCTACGACAGTCGCCGTTATTACAAACCCCGAGGAGAGCCCCGACGGCGCGCGAACCGACATCGAAAGCTGCAGTCCCAAGCGAGTGCAACCACAACAGGGAGGTTTGAAGCGTCCCCGAGAACTCGACCACGACGACCACTTGGAATCGTCCACCAACGACACGGACGCGGACCGCCAAGTGCTCGAGAAACCGCGCTTGTACATGAAGAAGCTGTACAACATGCTGGAAAAGTGCGCGCCGTCCATCGCGGGGTGGACCGACAACGGCACGTCATTTGCCGTGTACGACGTGCCGACGTTCGAGCGCAAGGTGATCCCACTGTACTTCAAGCCCATCAAGTTTGAGAGCTTTGCGCGGCAGCTCAACTCGTACGGATTCCGCCGCATGAAGCGCCAGGGGCACATGTACGAGTTCAGCCACCCGCAGTTCATCCGAGGCATGCAGGGCGAGCTCCCGATCATCAAACCCAAGCCCAAGAAGGGCACGGACCAGGAAGAGTTCCTCACGTCTCGGATACACGACCTCACCAACGTCGTCACGGCGCTCCAGGCCGACCTCCACGCGATGAAGGCGCAGATGACCGCCATGGACCGCAACATGCAAGCGGTGCTGGCGTGCATGGCGGCGTCCGACCCCCACAAACCACACCCTGGACATGCGACCAAACCACATGCGTACAACAATGTAGCTCGGTATGGCCAACCACAGCCGACGGCTTCGATGCAGCACCTGCTACCACCGCCGCCACCACCGCCGACGACTCTGCCCTCCAAGAACTCTACCACCACCACCACCACCCCGAGATCCTAGCGACGACTAGTAGTCGTAGGCGTTCACTTAATGTAATATTTTAATATTTTCATCAACCCGCTTGCTTTGTAGTATATACTATTATTAGTAATAGTATATAACGTTATATTATGGATACGAATTTCCAGACCCCGTCGAATCGAATGTATCTCGCCACGAATCATCGACGCTATTGGCTAATCCATTTTTTGAGTGGATTTGATTGGCTCTTGCAGCATATTCAACCAATCAGAACTCCGGCGTGATTTAATATTGCTTCGACAAACCAGGCGAATTTTGGACGAATTCACAATATATGCGATTTCATAGTTTCTACTTCTAACAGTATTAGTAATTCGATGGATTAATGCTATTAATACTATTATTAATAATTATACCGGTAACAGTAGTTCCAAAGGTACAGAGTGTAAAGCGTGCATGTTCTATGTACTGGAGAATGTATGTACGTAGTATGCAACACGGGCAAGTTTGACGGTTAACTACAAGTACTACCTACTAAGTACTAGTAGTACAGTGCTGGCCAGCAGGATCCAGTACTAGTATGTACAGCCTACAACTGGATACAACCTGCCGAGTATGATGAAGTCGCGCACGATCGGCTTATGAAGTAGCGTCGACTTGATTGTCGTGAGGGTCGGCGGCATCGGCGGCATCCAACACCCCCTTGGCCGCCGCGAGCATTTCCTAAGTACCATCATCTTCAGTCGCTTCCATCATGAATACGAAGTCGAATAATACTGTCTGGGAAATGTCTGCGGCCGACATAAAGTTGCCCCACACCGTCGCCATCTACCAACACCAGTTCATTAGTAGGTCCCAAGGGGGCTTTAGTAGGTCTACTACTAACATAGAATACTCACGCGTTTTGCTACGTGGTACTCTGCACACGCAAACGGCCCCATCGTGTCCCGCAACAACTGCGCCTTCAGCGACCTACTCCCCATCACGTTGTGACTACCAAACCATCAAGGCAGCAAACACCCTACTTGATGCGCTTGGCTTCCGAGAAGAACAGCGCGCGCGTGATACACGACGCGATGTGTTCGTGCCGAGACGCCGATGCTTCCATGTCGGCCGCAGTCGGCTCAGTGGCGACATACCGAGGAAAGTACGAGTGCGTCTTCGAAACTCCAACGGCGGGCGTGGGCTTGGTCACCTTGTCGTGTTGTGCCTACTCGAAATGTCAATACTGTACAAACGTCGATAATCGTTATATAACAAACTATAAGAATGATTGTTATAACATCTATAACATAAAGGGCCCTTACCAGTGCCGCGTCGCGCTGCTTGAGAATGTCCTTAAAATCCCGGACTTGCGCGGCGATGTACTTGATGCCTTCGTGCAGCATGAGGTCGTGGATCACTGGTTGGTGGTACTGCACGTCATGCCACCCTGCCATCGTCGTCGCTAGTACCTCAAATGTTAGCTTCCTTTTTAACGTTATATAAACAGAATCAAATATATTGTGGATTCGGTGGTACAAATTTCCAGATCGAATCATGAATCGACGCTATTGGCTAATCCAATTTTGAGTGGATTTGATTGGCTCTTACAGAAAGGACAAGTATATTCAATTAATCCGTGCTTCAGAACCACGCGATTTTTTAAAACATGATAGCGAATTCCCAACATATAATATATATATTTTTTGGGACGTACTGGTGGTGGACAAGATTGCGTTGAGCTCCGTGTGCTTGTCATCACAGGCGTTGAATTCGACGTTCTTCCATTGATTAAACACCAAATGCAGCTCGGAAATGTCTTTGGACAACGCCGAGCACTTTTCTTCGATTTTCTACGCCATATATATATATATAATATATAGTTTCTTGAGACCTATCTCATGACATGTAGTCGTCCTTACTTTGGTGCTTGTCGACAAGTCCGCACAACACTTCTCGACATGTTCAACGTCTCGCTTGATGCCTACGAGAAATCTACCAATCCAGAAGTGTATTAGCCATCGTCCACTCGTATATATATATATGAGTTATTACTTGTCTGGGTCGTCGGGGACCACCGACGCCATCAAGCATTGCATCCACTTCAGATGGCCCACCCCTGCGTTCTCCAACACACTGGACGACTACACAACAAGAAAACCCCCTTTTGTCAACGCAACACCCCCTTTTGTCACTGTTGGATTCGGAGGACCTTTTTAACATGGTCCCACTCAGTGTCGTCGGCCACGCCGAGAAACCCGACGACCGCCGCGTCCTGCCGAAGGTACGGCGAGCGCATGATCTGGTTGACGAAGATGGTCAGCCCGCGCATGCGGCTCCGGATGCACGCGTCCGACTTGTACACGACTTTCTCTGGCATCGATGGAATCAGCATGCCCACGTATCGACCGGCCAACGTCGCATGTAGCCACGAAAAGTCACTACTCCGTCCATGATGAGCATGGCGCCATGGAGGACGAAGCATACCTGAAGCGCCGACGGACCCCGGAAGACGAGTCTTGGCGCACAGCGTACGTCGTGTACTTTTTGATGTAGCTGCCGCGGGTTTCGGGCTCGGACACCTACAGAAAGCGACACGTGACATGATTATTCATTCGCCTTGGCAACACTGGTGGGTTGGTAGATGTGCATGTGTGGCCTACGTACCGAAATCACGATGGGGTTGCGCACGGTTTGCTTGCACCAACTCTAAGAATCGACACAACACACACGTTGGGGCGTTGCTCGTGTGGTAGATGTACTAGTCATTACATCATGTTCCTGCATGTTGATCTTGGAGCCGTGGCAAATCTTCATGGTGTTCATGGACGCAGCAATTGCATCCACGGACGTGGCCTTGGCGGCGGTGCTAAACATGTCGACGACGACAGTCCTACGGGGTTTGCAGGAGTATTGTTTTGCCTAACGACACGATCGAATTCGAATGTTAACGGGACACGGAAGATATCCGGACACGAAAGGACACGTCCGGATAACTCCACCAATCACAACCCGTCGAACGTCAACTTCAAAATGGGCACTTCCTTATCGTTGGCTGGTTGTACGAGCTACTGTACATACTTGAAGTCAATGGATATTTCACATCAAACTGTGGTAGCAGTTAACAATGTTTTGTGGTGGTTGCCTACTTACTACTTACTACTCGTGTATCTACTGTCTTGGCTTATCTATACTGGGTGTAATAGCCACCGCCGCTGTGGGTATCGTCTTCATGGCGCTCATAGAGATAGTGGCCCGCCGTCGGATTTGGCTGGGTGGGATGGCTGGTACTGGTGCTATGTTGTCGTGCGTCGATACCCAAATACGCGGGGTCGCCAAACCGCAGCGGCGGAATCTCGTCGTCGTCCAGCGCGAGCCTCGTCAACGACGGGGGAACAGGCGCCCCTGTTCCGCCATATCTGTCAAAGGACGTGGGGGGGGAGGTGTTGGTCCGTGTGAACCCTCCCCCTAGGCCCCCAAATTGAAACCCGCCTTGGTCCCATCGCGGAGGTGGAGTAGGGGACGATGACGGCGCCGCGGTGGGGGGGGGTGGTGGCGGGGCCGCGCGATGGGGCGGCGGCGTAAACATGCTAAACACATTCGAGTCGACCGACGACGCTCGCAGCGGAAGATGGTGGTCATCCGATGGCCACGAGTGCTGCTGCTGCTGCTGTGGTTGTTGCCAGTGCGGCGGAGGTTGGTGTTGCTGGTGCCGTTGCTGCCACTGCGGCGCAAGTTGATGTGGTGCCACATACTCGTGCTGGGACAAGTACGAAGGATGGTGGTGGTGGCCGTACCCGTCCCCGTGTGTGCGAAACAAGCGGCTTTGGTCAGGGCCATGGCGGTGTTGCTGCTGCGAGCCGAATGTGTCCATCGTCAGCCCATCCAGACCGGCTTCAATCTCCCCCAGCCCTGGCGGAGCCCCATGCGCTAAAGAAGAATGCCCCACTCGACCTCCGCCATACCGCACAGCCGCTGCGTACCCGCCAAACGTGCCCACAGAAGCCAACGGAGCCGGACTCGCGGGGGACGCGGGGGGGTTGGATCGGGGACTCAAGAGGTGCTTGGGGGTGGACGACAGGTCGTCGCTGAACGAACCTCGGGATGTGGACACCGCCGCCTGGGTGTGAATGGCCACCGACGGGACCCCGCTGCTGCTGCTGCTGCTGGGAGGCGGCGCGTCTGTCCGGGGCACAGCGCGCTTCACTTCAACCTACCCCACACTTGAGACTCTGACAAGATTCGAAGCAGACGTACCGACTTGCCGTCGAGGACGTGGCCTCCGTCCTGCAACACCAGGTCGACGCTGTGCTCCGTTTCGAAAATGACAAACCCAAACCCGCGCGACTTGTTGGTTTCGCGGTTGAACATCACTTCAGCACTCACGACCTTGCCATACTGTGAAAAGTACTTTTTGAACTCGGCTACTCAATCACAATCACGACGACAGCTTGGGGAGAGGTACGTCGTGTACCGTCTTTGGTCTCGTAATGCAACCCGCCCACAAAGATCTTCTTCGTGGCAGCTCCGCCACCGCTGCTCGCACTGCTTGACAACCCTGCAACACCGCCATTTGACGACGACGCGGCGCTTGCGGGACCTCCTCGGGACGATGTTGTACTACTGGCGTCACGCGCACTCTCAGCTCGAGGAACTGCCCGTTTTGCCTCGACCTTCATGTTCATGAGCGAGGACGATGGAGAGGATATACGTACCCTACGATTGTCTAACACGTGATTTGGCTGCGCCAAGGCCCTATCGACGCAGCCAGGATCGGCATACGTGATGAAGCCAAAACCCCGCGATCGCCGCGATATCGGGTCCTTCATCACGACGGCGTCCGTCACTGTCCCGTACGCGCCAAAATATGATCGCAGTTTCTCTACGCACACATCGCTTGATTCATTCTCGTAGAGTCACCACGTACCGTCCGTGGTTTCATAGGACAAGCCGCCGATGAATATTTTCCTAAGCAGCATCAGGTCCTGCGATCAAGAGAGAGGCATGATCGCGTTGAACGTACCCGATCTTTGGGGAATTGTCTGTCATATCTATTCCTATCGCTCCTACTCTATTGCCTGATGTTGTGTCTGTTGCCGCCGCCACCGATTGACCGTGCCGCGCTTCCGAAGTTCACCCTCACTGAATGACGACGACGTGACTGGCCATACATTTGTTAGTATTCGATAGAACCTCCGACAACTGATATTCTGAGTATGCCGCAACTGAATTTGAGGTCGGGAGCGTGGGGCGCCAAGTTAAACTTGGATGGGGTTGGTTATACTGTGAAAATGAATACTTCACCCCAAGGGAAGTCACAACCACCTGTAGTACAATTAACTGGGAATTCCCGCCTCAGGCCCTTTCCCAGACAAGTGAGTCCACACCATCATCGTAATAATAAAAAAGCAACTATACTAGCTTTTGTATGTATATATGGTTAATTATATAATTGTCCGGTTAAAACATACTCCAAATCCGGATAACTTGATCAATTATCCTCATAACTTTCGCTCAAGGTGCGACGGATGTCAGCGGCCAACTCGTCTTCGGCTTGGCACACATGAGCAAACTCCTTCAGCTTGGCCTTGGTCTCAACTGGACACGTGCGCAACGCCTGCGACACCTTGGGATGCAACAGGATGTCACTTAACACGGTGGTGAATCGAAGGGAATACGGCGGCGCGATGCGCATGAGCACGAGCTGGATGAAGTGGCGAAGCAAGGCTTGGTCCAAGTCGTCGGTTTGGGTAGCAATGAAGTGCAGCACGGGGAAGATATAGCCACAGGTCATGAGGTGCACCATGCATCGCAGCGTTTCCTTCTTCGTCTCGAGCACCTTGACCGGGTTCGACTCGGGTTGGAGGCGCACTGACGTCACGAGGACCTGAAATACCGTCGGCCATTGACCCACATGCAGCGCGATGGCTTGGCGGAGCAGACTCATCACCACGGGGAACGCCGCGTGGAAGAACGGGCCGTTGTAGAACGTTTTGGACGCCACGAGAAGCTGCAACCAGTGCAGAATGCCCATCGACACGACTGGAATTGCCATCGACCGCACCAACTTGTCCACTGCGTCCGACTCGTTCATCTATTCAACAATCATGTGAAGTCGATGTAGTAACTTTATTGAGTGACGTTCTGATTGGCTGAATATATTTATTGTTCGTTTGTACGAGCCAATCAGATCCACTCTCGCTCAGAATTGGATTCACCCAATAGCGTCTCGATTCGGCGGCGAAATTCGATACGACAATATATATAATATATATATGCTACGTAGTATATCGACTTATATATTTCAACACGCAACATATATATAGATAGATAGAAAGTGACGGATACACATTGACTGTACGTACGTTGTAGCTGAGTGTGGTTTCGGACTTGCACACGGTGGACGCCGCCTCCAGCGCCGCGGCTATCGTGTGCACTTGGGCTTCGTCCCACGACATCGCTTGGTCGTCGGTCGTCGTCGCCAGTAGCGGGCGGGTGTCTTGCACCGTGGCCGCATATGCCAACACAAACGCACACGATGTGCGATGACCGGCACTCTCCACGGCTTCATAGGGATGGAATAGCGCCGTGGTCAGCCGTCGCAAAATCTATATAAACATATCATTCAGATATTATTAGGGTCATTCGCGCCACCACACACAAAATATATTGTGTATTTGCGCTATAAACTTTCACGCTTCCATTGGGTTTCATATAGTGAATCACGCTAGGACTTTTGATTGGCTGAATATTCGTATAACAGCCAATGATATCCACTCAACATTGAACGAGCCAATCGCATCGATTCCTAACGGGGTCGTGATGTATATATATATATATATTACCGCATCCCACAATATATTAGTATCCGCACGAATATCCCCATCAACCACCACAAACACGAAGTACATGTCTATCCACAACCTCACGAATGTACGTACGTACTATCACCAACCACCCCCATATTGAAACACGACATGATGATAATAGAGGTTCCACTGGCAAAGATATATACAATAGTCGGGCAGATATCACATGCAAAGCTCTCCAAAACGCAACTAGTCCTACCACGTGTTCCCGAATATGGGCGACGGGGGGCGGGGATGGGGACGTATACACGGCCTTGAGCAGTTCACTCGCCACTTGGGAACACTTTTGTTCGTGCAGCACCAATCCTACGACCCACAAATACAGTAAGCAACCACCACACCTTGTCGTGTATCCCACCGATGGCTTCCGACAGCGCCGGGTACGCCGCCGACACCCCCGCGCGCTTGAGTACATGGAGCGAGTCCAGTTTTTGATCCCCGTGGGCGGTCAGCACGGCCTCGTGCAGAGTTTGCCGCAGCCGCTCCAGCTTGGACCGGTACGGAAGCACATGCACACTCGACGTGGACAGCGTTTGGTCGAGTTGCAGCAGAACTTGCTGCGTGTAAATGTACGAATACGCAGAGTGCATGCAGATCTTTTGCAATGCGAGGTAGTCTTCCCGGACGTCGTCGACGCCAGCAAACGGGATCTACCATGACGTTGACTCATATATGTCGGACTTGCAAAGGCTGAGGAAATATATATATATATGTATATACTTGCAAAAATGTATATATATATATATATATATAGCATCGAAAAGAGAGAATCTACCCGCTTGAGAATGTCGGCCACGACGGCGTTGAACACGGGAAACACGTCGCTGGCTGTCGAGATAGACGCGATTTCTTTGTGGTGGCCGGCTTCGGAAATGCGCCGGATCGCATATTGGAGTAAACTGCATGTCTACGCTCGAAAGATAATATAACCTCCAGAAGATAGTATTCATCCCATAAACATTAATAAAAAGTTTTGATATATTGTCGATTTGATATACAAATTTGGGGAGGGGGTGCAATCGAATATCGCGCCGACCAAACCGATCCACAATCGATCTGATTGGTTGAATTTCATTGAGAAATGGGTTTTGATTGGTTAATAATTTTGAGCTCATCTGAGGTAGCCAATCAAATCGATTGAAGTTCCAACGAGAAACCACAACACAACACAATGAAATGTCACTCAAAAGCACAATACAACCCAAACCTATGATAGTATGTTATCGCATCAAGAAAATAAATATATAAGATTAAACCTCCTTATGATACGATTTATCCCAGAAACAACTAATGTTTCCATAAATAAATACATAAACCTCCATATTATTATAGTAATTTCATCCCCGAAACTCATCATTATAATTATATGTTTAGTATATACATATTATATATACAGCACCCACTGTACATTCGTAAACTGGATACACACACATAACAATATCCAGATTTTTTACTGTGTGTATATATTATATATTACATCAAATGTACCTTGTGTTTTTCCGCGAGCTCGATCAGCATGAGTCGCCATTTGCGGTCATGTAGCATCGTATTCAACCAGTCGGGCTCGGCAATCGAATCGCTGAGCACGTTCGACAACTAGATCATACATGCATCATGAGGACAGGCCACGACCAGGTATGATCGATCATGTGCACCAGTTTCGGGTCGTAGCGGTCAACGATGGCGGCTTTGAGTGTGTGGAACATGAGGCTGTCGGCGGAGACATCGTCGTCATCGGGACGACTGGTGGTCGGTGGAATCGCCGCATCAAGCCAGGTCCCGACCAAGCGACACATTTGAGCATGGCCTCTGTATGACGACGACAACTGCTTGACCAGCATTTCTACAGATCCCGTCCATGAAATCGATCTTGCGGCATAGTTGCCAGAATATTTATATAAAATAATATATTCTAAACATGGTCCATCCTGCAATACTAGATTATTACCGGGGCCGTTGGCGTCGGGGTGGGTGCGCAGAAACCCGTTGATCGTGGTCAAAATGTCTAGTTCCATGATCGCGTCCGTGTGGCCCAGTACCTACCAAACATACCCATGATATCGTTTTGAAAGTGCGATTCCACAGATATATATATATATATATTCTTGGATACCAGTGACGTACGATATATATATATATATATGTATAGACCTGCAACAGGTGATTTGCTTCGTCGGTGCTTTCCAGGGTCGTGTCAGCCACGTCGTACGTGTCGCGAAGGATGCTCGTCGCCTTTTTCGGACGGTCCGCGGCGGCTTTGTGCTGCTTTTTCGACTTGGTTTTCGTCGACGACGAAGATGCGCCTTTCTCGCGCTTTTTCCGCTTCTTGGACTTGGACGTGTCCTCTTCGTCCGCGTCTTGTACTGCCGTCGACGCGACGGCTGCGTCGTCGGGCTTCACAGTTCCCCCTTCGTGGTCGGGAATCTCATGGTCGTGGTGGTGACGATGGCGATGATGATGATGATGGTGGTGTTTTGTCGCCGTCGAGTCTATCGCGGATGCCTTTGGTGTTGTGGCATTGTCCTTGGTGCCGGTGGGTGTGGTGGAAGAGCTTGCACTCAAACCATCGGCCGTCGATGTGGATGCTGCTGCATCGACCTTACCCTGTTGACCCTTGTCCTTGGTCACGTAGCTCGTAATGGGCACGTCTCCCTCGGGTTTGATCCACTGACTGGTCTTGCTCACGCGGTCGTAATAGTACAGCCGTTGGCTCTTCTTGTCCATGCGTTCCTCCCACTCCGGTGCCTGGTTCGCATCCGTCGCCGCGACCACTTTGGGCACAAACCCATCGGGTTTCTCCCATACGCTCTCCTTCGTGTGCTTGTTGTAGTAGTACGATCGACCGTCCTTGGTCTTGTGTTCTGTCCACACCCCCATGCTGCTGGCGGTGCACTCGAAATGAACAACTATCCGGATAAATCGGTATGGTATCCGGTGTCGGGATGATTAAATTCGGCATATGTGCCGCAGATAATAGAAGATTTACCAGGTATTAATACTGTACTTCGGCATAAACTTAGGCATTTTATTGAAGCTTCATTGGCGTCGCAGTTAATTTGGAGATCTGCCAGGAAGGTACAGTAGAACCGATGAATCAATCCCCTTCAAAACAACAAGCAAAATGGCAGTATAAGGAGAAAGTCTACTTTCTAGATAGCGTGCAGGCATGATCCCATAACGTACATAATTTCCATAAAATGGCAGATATGCCGTATCCAACATGGATTCCACGGCATCACGACGCCACTCGTGGGCGCATTTCAGTCGTACATGCCTCGGTAATGCCCCACAAAGTCCGAGTCGTCCACCCACAGGTCGAAGGTCACGTCGTCGATCGTTTGTTCGGATTGTGATTCCTCGCCTCTGACCGGCTAAAGTTAATGGACATTTTGTACTTCAAAATAATTTCACGGCAACCCATTATTTTTCTAGTGTTTAATTTATACTTGGCATTTGTATGATTCTATACCAAGATATATTGATTATATTTTCGGTAATGTAAAGTGCCAATTGATGATTTATAAAACTAATCCAATCACTAAGCCCCAAATTAGAAAAGCACCAATCACAGAACAAACCTCTGAATATGTATACTTGCAGCCATACAACACCAAAGGTTGTTAACGTTTCCCGACCAGGGCATCCCCGACCAGGGCCTTAGGACCAGGGCATAAGGCCCTGGTCGGGGAACGTTGACTCCACACCCGTCGATGCTTTTGACAAATCATATGGGATTTTTATCCGGAAAGTGTTAACACCGGACACTGTCGTCACTTTTGTGTTAACGCCTGCCGCCACTTGACAATGGTTGATGATCGTGCCGTTGTGTCTGCTGCCATCCTTGCTGTGACTGCCGCATGCTTAGCTGTCACGTCCACTGGCGCCCGCCACGACAAGTACAACATTCTCACTGTAACTCACATTGAATTTGACTCAATGCTTGGTAATTTGGCGTACGAGCAGTGGTTTCTGTCCAATCTGCGGTGTGGTCAAGCCACATTTATCCAACTGGTCAGGGTCCTTCGTGTTGAAATGGTGGCCTATAGTTTGCGGGTGTCCCTGCACTCTTTTGAAAAGAAAGTGGCCATTTTCCTGTATTTTTTGGGTTCCACTGGTGGTTATCGCGAAACGGCTGCAGCGTTTGGCGTATCAAAATCATGGAGTATCCCCACGAAGAAGGTGGTCGTTTGACACCGCGTCAAAAGCGATTTAACTTTAAGCATTCCAGCACCCGAATGCCTGTCGAGTGTGCGTTTGGTCGACTGAAAGAACGGTTTCGGATTTTAAAGTGCACGATGAGTGAAATCACGTTGAGTCGAACCGTTTCGCACATCGTGGCCTGTTTTGTGCTTCACAATATGTTCCTCTAATTTAAGGATGGCCTGTTTTCGACTCCCAACAACGAACGTGACCGAAATATCTATTTCCAACCGAGTGATGAAACCGAAGTGGAAACAAACAAGATGCTCCGCGCCGTAGCTGTGACCAAGCGAAATGGAATATCAAGGATACTGGATGAACAATAATAAATTGAATTTATTGTTACAACAAATGTTCAAGCAATTTAGAAATGCGTTCGACTGTTGCGTAATAGCGGCAGATTGCGTTTTGAGTGCAGCTACTACATCGCTTAAAGTTGCTGCTTCGTGTTCAGGCACTACAGGTACGACTGGGGCAGGTGCAGGCTTGGTATGGAGCATCGCTTCTCCGAGAGAAACAAGTCCCTCCTTAACTGCAACAAGCCCCGCCTCCAGAG